TAAGTTAGTATTAGGGTTTGGGAAGGGTTTTCAGAGGGTAGAACATTTTTACTTAAAACACCTTGTACTGATTAATTAGCGGTTTTTGAGATAATGTATGCATAAGTGTTAAACACCATAGTGCGTTTTAGTAAAATTCAAAAATTATGTTGCATTTTGTTGTTATAAACTATAAAATGCATCAAGATTTTATAATAAATGCACTAGCGAATCCGAATCGGAAATATAGATTGATTACACTAAGATTCTGTAAACTCAACGGATTAATTTTCATACAATTATGTAAAATATTTAAACTTATGACTATTAGAGTGTGGCGATATCAAAATGAAGTATGGATATGTTATTTTCCTATTTTTAATTTATACAATTTCGAAGCAACATAAATTGAAAATAATAAACTTATAACTATCCATCGGTTTGTAAATATTTTGAATCATTAATTAGAAACGCTTTTGCTGCAGTGCACTGACCAAAAGACTGTATATATCGTGCTGTAGTGGATCTATGTCAAAGAAAAAAAATTTGAAGCACATATTCACATTTATAACAAACAATACAGAAATTCAAAAATTACATTTGATTAATAGAGACACCGTATTTTACACTAGGATATTTGTACAGTGAAATATTTGCAAAAACTAGAAAATTAACTGAATTTAAATTTTGCAAAACTTTGTAAATCATTCAACATAATAAATCGACACAGTGAATATTAAGTTTAAAGACTGGTATATTTAATTTTAATACAATAGAGAACAATACAAAATATTTATATTTCTGTAAAACTAATAGTCAAAAATTAACCAAGATTAGCAGAAAATAAATTATTCAAGCATCATTAATCTAATTTTTTTAATTTTCTAATTTACAGGACTATCATAACGTATTAAACTTTAAGGTAATTTAAAACTTAGCTCTACAACCACCACAACCAGGTCTCCCCCCAACAAAATTTGCATAGTGATCAGTCGAATATTTACAAAATTCCTCAGCGTCAGGATCATTGACTGATTCGGCAAAGCACGATTTAGTTTTAATGTTATATCCCCATCCAATGCAATTTGAATCAGCCGAACATTTTCTGCAGCAATCTTCTAAACTTACAGCATCATAACTTATACTATAAAAAGCACCAGGTAATTTATTAATGATACCAGGACCACCTGTATCACAACAATCCAAAGCAACAGTGGGAGTAGTTTTTGTGGATTCAGTTTCAGTTGGTATAGCAAATAAGGTGGATGGTACAATAATTTCAGCAGCGATTCCAGCGATTCCAGCGATGTTAATATCGACAGACCTTTCCGTGAAATTTTGCAACTGATAATGATTAAATTGGTAAGATTCAAAAGATTTATTGAATTCAGTGGTTATGATCGCATTGTCGCTTTTTTTATGGTCAGCCTTAATATTTATTGCAGTAAAGCAAAATATGTGGATGATTAAAAATAAGTTCCAAATGCTATTTGCACTCATTGCGAACAAGACTTTCTATATAAATAGATACTAGAAAGAAACTTGTGTGAAAGAATGAATTATATATTTAAAATTTCATGGAAAGGGAATGAAAAGAATGAAGAGGTACGCATCACAGGTTCAAAGAAAAAAATGCTGTTTACATGTGAAATTAATTGTTTGTATCAGGAATAAATGTTGTGGGACCTTGTCAGCTACAAGCCTATTTCTTAATGCTGTACAAGGAGCATGTATTTATATTACCGATACATTTGATCTTCATTAATAAAAATGGACCAATAAAAATATGCCAATACATTTATTTGTTTATTCTTACGTCGACCTTTTTAATGAATGACACATAAATAACCCAATTTTGACCTTTATTTTACAAAATTTGCACATTTGTATCAGGAAATATATTATACGTAATAGTGTTATTTATATCTTTAATATATGTGAGAGCTTGACGAAATCTATATAACCATAACCTCTTTATGAGCATTATTTTTTGAAAAATTATTGGCAATAATAATATATATTTATTAAAAAACTTTATATAATCACATCATTTTTATGTAAAACAAACAGCATGATTATAGAGGAAGACGACAGTACATTAGCAAACTTGATGACTTTGAATCTTATAGTATTTTGATTCAAAATCTGTAATAAAATCAATTCAATTTATGATATTTTTTGTCACATAAAGATTTGAATAATGAATTCTCTTTAACGCAGCCCAAACTCTTAAAATATATACGTTTGTTTTAAAGTAAGAAGTTTTTAATATCAACATATCATCACAAAGGATGAAGTTTTTTTACATTAAACAAAAGTTTCGATCTATTTATTTTATTACAAGAAATTACAATCACCAATTATTATGTTCTTCAACATCAGCCTTCTTCTACATGTAATATTTGAGATTTCACATTTGTTTACCGGGATTGTTTATCATGCTTAGGAAAAAATCTCATACGTCATGAGTAAAATTTCTATAAAGCTGATTACGATGTCATTTTCTCTTTTCGATCATGAGGATAAGTAATAATGTTCATTGATTTGCATTCATTAAAAGCAGTAACCTAACACTTCAAAACTAACAAGCGTTGATCGTATCAACATCGAATTTTGATATTTTGAAATATTCAAATACGTGCAAACCGGATTTATAAAATTGAAGCATCCTAAATAAATATTAAAAATTGTTAGAATTTCACTATCTGTTATTGTTATGGAGTAAAAATATCTAATAGGAGGTTTCAAAGTTAACAAATGAGTTGTGCAATTTGAAATTAAATGAGAGTTTGGAAAAACTTAAAATCGGAAAATGAAAATGAAATAAAGTTGTTACATCACTCATTTTCTCATTTGAAAATAAATCCGAAATCTGTAACTAATTTGAATTAAAAGTAGATTTCCGCATTTTAACTTTGAACCCCCTAATTTATCAATTTCATATTGGGAAATAAGCTATGTTTTTCACGTAAATCAAGCAACCAAGCGTAATTTATAGAAAATTCATAAATATGATCTATATAAGGTATTAAATAATTACGATAGTTTGTAAAATATCTTATAACAAAATAAGTTTTTTTAAGCTTTAACATTAAAACGTAAAAAAATTAAATACAGAACAGAAATATGATTCTTGAAAATCCGATACTGATTTAGATCACCGTGGCTATTTTCAACATCACTAATAACGTGCGCACATTCTAAGGTAGTTAAGTAGTACAGTATTATTGTATAAATATGTACGAACGTACGAAAATCGAGCAAAATTTTGATAGTACGTACGGTTAACATAGGTTTGTAAAATTAATTTTTATAATAATAAGTCCATTCTCCATTTGGCACAAGGAAGTGACGAATCATCGGATGTGGTTAATATGCATTATTTACTATAATTATTTAACTAATACTTACTTGCCACGCCGATGATTCGTCACATCCTCATGGCAAATGAAAGAGGAAATCCTTTTTTTAATGTTTAGGGTTAGGGAAAATGCGAGCATTGTTCTTTTTTCGTGTGAGGTTATAGGAAAATTGAAAGAATTTTTCTTTTACAAACCGTACATACTATCATGATTTCCGTCCCAATTTGCGGTTTCGTACTGTACTGATTTACCATATACCCCATATTCTAGACGTACGTACTCTGTTAATTCTATGTCGGTAAATCAAGATAAAACTTTCGCTAATCAATAACTTTCTTGGATATTACATACTCTAAATACTATACAACCAGTGTTAAATATTTCTGATTTATTTTCAAATGAGCAAATGAGCGATGTATCAACTTTATTCATTTTCTGACAAAATTTTTCATTTTCCTATTTTAAAATTTCGAATTATAAATTTCAAACTCTTATTTTATCTCAAAACACGCCACTGATTTGAATAAGAATATCCTACTTCTTTAAAATTCATTATGGCTGATAATTGTATCAAGGATTTAAAGTGATAGTTCTCAATGATTATTATTCTCAATGACTATTTAATGAGTCAATATCTTTCTAACTTTAATCCAAGGAATTGCCGTGATTCAATGAATAAAAACTTATTCACATTTAAGTATCTACTGGTAAATCATTCTATACGTTCATTAATTTATCTGAAATCAGATGCCAAATCATTAATTTTAATGT